TATATCTTATTGTGGAAAGATTTAAAATACATATATATATATGTATATATAGATATAGATAATTACAGCAGATATTTTTTATGCTTGCCCAGTGGCCACTCCCCCTTCACCCATCATAGCCAAGCCGATTTTGTTTAGGTATCCACTCAAACTTGTTCATGGGATTGTTTAATTCTTTAATTTGCTACTTAATTTATGAATTTCTGACACAGTGACATTAAGAGGTGGGGTAGGGACACCCAGGAACTATGGTTTCATGGCCCCAGGTCCTTCAGTGAGACTGCGAATTGCTGGAACCTCATGGGTGACCACATTTGGGAGAGGGTCCGCTCACTCCACAGTGGCGTAGTGAGCCCGCCTTTGTATCTGTTGTGGGCTTCATTTATGAGGTGCTCATACAAGTTCTAAAAGGGGTCTACAGTGAATTCAGTGTGTGGCAATTTGCAGAACTGGTGGGCTGGCAAGCCAAGTAGACATCTACTCTTATGAGAGGTTTAGGTGAGAGAACTTGGCAGAGATGTGATGCATGACAGACACTGGCATCCTGCCTGACCCTAGGGGAGAAGGGACTAAGAAGGAGAGAAGGTCTTTTTCCAAGGGACTTTGTATAACCTGAACTGACGGCCTTGTGAATGTGGTGAGTTTGCATACGTGGCGATAGGTCTGGGTACTCTCAGGTTACAAATCAAATATCACAAATATGTCATTGACACAGACTCAGAGAGCCATGAAACACACAAAATTCTTTAAATCCCAACAGTGCACACTTCGGCCCAATATACCAGACGAATATGCAGCAAAACGAATACAATGCTTATATAGAGGACGGGGAATCTTCTCTTCTGTGTGTTCTTTTAACTTTTTTGTTATAAAATACTTCACACACAAAATAATATGTAAGAGATAAAGAAGGTGAATAAATATCACATATCAATCATCTAGCTAAGAAACAGAACATTACCAATCCCTTTGAAGATCCTATGTATGTTTCCACTTAATACCCTGAACTGAAAACTGAACACAGTACCTACACCTCACCTTATGTATCATTGGACAGAACTGCACCACATGCCCAAACCTAAACATGCCATTTCAAGGGTGACAGGACCATCATTACTGCTTGGACAGTTCAAACTTTTTGGTCTCTGGACCCCTTTACACTCTCACAAATGATTAAGGATGCCAAAGAGCTTTTGTTAGTATTGATTGTATCTATCAATACTGAACACATCAGAAATGAAAACTGAGAAAATGTTAAGATATTTAATTCATTTACAAGTTACAATAATAAATCCAATACATGTCACTGCACACACACATTAAATTTTAGTTGGAAAATATATTTTCCAAACAAAAAGTAATTAGTGAGAAGAGCTGCACTGTCTTACATTTTTGCAAATCTGTCTGGCTTAATTAAAGAAGACAGCTGGATTCTCATGTCTGCTTCTGCATTCCAGTCTGTTCTAATGTTGTTTTGGGTGAAGTATATGAAGAAAATTTGGCCTCACAAAGATAAGTAGTTGGAAATGAGGAGAATATTTTAATAGTCTTTTCAGATGATTTTGGATATTCTTGTTTGATACTACACCAAAACTCAACAAATGATTGCTGCTTCTTCGTTTTTTAACTTTTTATTTTTTACCCTCGCGCAGCAACAGGCCCAGCACGGGGTCCCAAATGGGGCACTCGCTGCTTGACTGGCCCAGCGCTGCCTGCAGCTGCAAGCCCCGTGTCCTCGCTCCAGCCCCCACAGCTGGCCCCCGGAGCTTGTGCTCTGCTGGCCTCAGCGAGGGAGGGGAAAATGATGGAGGAAAGACGGGATTTAAGCACGCAATCCGAGTCATAGCACCAAAATTAATGTTACCGGGAAAAGGGAAATAAGAATTACCTTGGTTCTTAGTCACCCGAAAAAAAAAAGAATTTTTGATGAGAGACAAAAAGCGTGATATAAGTAAGATTTTTATTAGTGAAGTAAAAAAAATAGTGAAAGATAGTACACTCCCAAGAATGGGGAGCAGGCCAATCCAAGAGAGGAGACATGGCCAGCAAATGATTGCTTCTTAAAGGTTAGTAGCAATGTGGAATCTAAAGCAACATCAATGAACTAGTCCTACTCTGTTACATTAAAAATCCATTGGGCTTTAACATGTGGAATAGACTTTCTTCTACCCATGCTTCATGGTTTTGTAGCATCACGCAGTGGTCGTTTGGAAAATACTGGTTCACTAAATGTAGTGCTATTAAAATATGTCTGTGGATTCTTTGGTACTCCCCCCTTTAGGAGGTGGAACTTAATTTCCCTCTTCTTGAATATGGACTGTACCTGTGACTCAGTTCTAATGAGTAGAATGGGGTAGAAAGCACAGTGTGACTTAAGAGGGTAGATCATAAAAGACATGGAGGCTTCTATCTTGCTCCCTCTCTCTTGGATCACTTACTCTGGGGGAAGCTAGCTGCCATGTTGTCAGGATACTCAAAGTCCCGCAGAGAGGTCCACGTGGTAAGAAACCAAGTGTCCTGCCAACAGCCATGTGAGTGTGCCATCTTGGAAGCAGATAGCCTAGCTCCAGCCACACTTTCAAAACAGACATCTTGACTGCAACTACAGGCAAAGCCCTAAATCAGAACCACCTATTTAAGTTGCTCCCAAATTCTTCACCCACAGAAACTGTGAGATAATAAATATTTTAAATTACTATGTTTTAGAGTAATTTTTAAAGCAACAACAGATGTCTAATATACCGAGTTATGTAGATCTTTCAAATATCGACACAGTCCTTTATTCAATATATTTTTTAAAATCACATTTGCTGGTATTGCCGCCAAGCTCATCAAAAGAATCTTTTAAACAGAAGCTGTCATGATATATGGTAGACATAATTCTTTAAAATTCTAGTTTTCGCTTGAAAGACCAAATTTTATCACTGGCAACAAATAATGTCAGTTGGATTCTCTTGACAGGACAAGCTAATTTTGTTCATTTTCTAGAAAGTGTTTACTCAACATCCAAGTCCAAAAAATCACTGCCATCCATTCAAGTAAAAGAGGTGTTTTTAAGAAGAGAGCCTAGTGCCTCTAGCAAATCAAACAAGCACAGAATTGCTTTTTCTTGGGCAGATGACACCGAACACCACCTCCAGCGGAGGAGTCTTAACACATGGAGGATAGCAATTGGTATAAGAATACCTGCCACAGGACTGGCAGCCCCAGGGTGTCAACCTGCTCCACAGTTCGCAGGTGCCAGGGAGCCCGAGTTGCCAGAAAAACACGACTCACAGAGGCACTGGGTGGAACAGTCCTTTACTCTTTACTTGTGAAGAGAAAGAGCAAGATCAGCTTCAGTGGTGATTGTCCCCCATGGCCAGCAGAACTGTGTGCACTCCTCTTGTGCTACAAGCAAAGGACCCCATTCCCTCCCCTCCTGGAACAGATACAGCAGTAGGGTTGGTCAGGTGTCATATGACACACACACTGAAGCAGAACAAAGAAGTACACATCCAGTCTGGAACAGAGAAAGATACTCCAAACAAAGAGATATGCCCAGCACAGGCTGTGAGAGCTCTTCATATCTTTGTAAGGAAATTTTCCAGGCCCATGGCACATTCTTATACAACGGTACAGGGGTTCAAAGACTGCACATGTAACTACTTTTTTAAACATTTTTTTCTCCAGACAAATACAGTACCTTGGTATGCAGCAGACTTGCTTGATGTATACTTCCCATTCTGTCACACAGACTATCAAAAGGACAGGTACTCAAGGCTCAAAATTGAATAAAATGAATACTTCTATAGCTTCATTAAGGACATTCTGTTAAAAGAAGAAACAATAGGCCCCAAATGGATTCACTTGTGCTAAGTCTCATGTCAACAAACCAAGACTTAATACCTAACCAACTGCAATTTCAGCCTCTCCTTGGAACGTGAACTTTAAGCAGTCAGTCTGAAATTTCAGGACCAGCACTGGTGAGGTAATTTGCTTGCTAGATTCCTGCCTTTCACGAAAGGAAGGTGACCTTGCCTGAAACTCTTGAAAAATGTGTTTATCTGCCTGCTTAGGGATACACATAGTTCTACCTTTTGATATACACGGTGATGGCAGGTCTCATTTCCTCTCACTCCTGTGCTCTAACCCTCCCATTTTGCTTCAGTAACTTTGAGTCTCTTAAATGCCCTACAGTTCCTTCTTAGTCCACTCCTTCCCTTCTGGTTTCCTCTTTCCGTCCAAATGCTCCAGACCCTCTACCTCAATCCCAACCCCACCAATTGCTCCCATTTCTAGCCAGGCCATTTGCTCTAAGTGGCCTCTAGGGGAAAGGTGAAAATAGGCAGTGGGGCCCAGACAGGTGTTGCTGGGGTCTGAGGATGAGGCAGGGGGCTGAAGGGTCTGAGGAAGGAGGCATTTAAGGACTTGTGCTGGACGAGAATCCAAGCATTTAAGGACTTGTGCTGGACGGGCCCCATATAGCTACAGAGCTGGGGCCACAGGAAAGTTACCTTCTTGGGAACAGGGACAGCAGGTCAGGAACTACAGATCTTCCTCCTCCCTGCTACTGTCCACAGCTTGGATTCCTGCAGCTACTGCTGGAAGTAGCAAAAGAGCTGTGGGATCCACACAAGGAGCCCCGTGGGTTATGCCCTTGGGGCAAAAGTCTTCACTTCTTCCCGGTGGAAGACAAGCAACGCAAGACTGGGAATAAAGAGTACCCAAGACCATCTAGCCATCTATCCCCAGAGACGCCGAGAGGTGGGGAGAGAGCACGTAGCGGCAGAGGGCTACAAAGCCGCGGCAGGCAGAAAGTGCAAGGCCGCAGCGGGCCTGGACGCGCGTGCCAGAGGGAATGGAACACTGCACTGAAGGACTGTCGCCAGGTCCTTTCCTTTCGAAGTCTGAGTTTCTCTGACTCACGAACGACCCCTAGAGGTAGACAAAACCTCGAGCCGTTCTACCCTTTCAGAAACCTACTCCACAACCAGACTCACCCTAACTTCCACATTCGGAAAAAGAGCGCATGTCCGGGGTGGGGGTCCCGCAAAGCTTTGTGGGAAATGGAGTCCTTGTCGGGTGGATTCTGGGAGTCGTAGTTCCGCCTGGTCCCTCCGCGCAGGCGCATTTCTGTTCTCACGTCGCGTCTTCCAGCGCTCGGCGGCGCCGGAAAGAGACGTGTTCACTGGTGTGTGGGTGGCCTCTGACCTGCGGTGGGTCAGGGTTTGTCCTGTGGGGAGGAGTCCCGAGGTGGAACGTGACAGACCGACTTGGGGCCTCTGTCAGTTACAATTGTTAATTGTAATCGGGCAATTACAGCACAAGTGATAATCTCCGAGATGCGGGATGTAGGAGCAGCGTGTAAGGGCCTGGAGGACGAGGTTTCGGAGCCGAAACATTGGGGTGTGGCTTAGGACCAGGCCGTGGGGCGACGTGTTTAAAGCCCGGGGCCTCTAGAGCTCAGAGTCCCCAGTGAGCAAGGCCGCCGCTATGAAAGGACTCTCGAGTCGCACAGAGGAGGTGGGCGTTATCCCCTGACAGTGTAAATCTGTTGTCGGTTTCCGGTGGGGCGCGCTGTGATACTAACTTAATTTTTCAACGTCATTGTGGCTCCAGTTCTGGGGGGTCGCGAGGGGAGGGCATTGAAGACCGAACAGTAGTTCAGGGAGAGATGATGAGAGCCGATGGTAGCTGTGGACTGAGTGGATAACGGGAGCTCAAGGAAAGGGAAGAGTTGAGGATCCCCATATTTGTGGTGTGGGCTGCTGGCGTGTATGTAGATATTCTCAGAGACATTCTTAATCAGTCTGCCTCAACCCTCCCGCCCTCCTCTCCCCAAAAGACTTGCGGGGTCCATCAGTGAGCATATATGTGCAAATACATTCACAAAACTATTAAGATGCACACTGACCCAAAGGATATTCACGTACGTAGCCTGTTAACACCTACCTTTGTGAGCACACTGGTGTCTATAAATATACACAGCCACATAGGTACTCAAAATCACATACTCATACATACCCCCTATCCCAGACAAAGGCTCTAGTAAATGTATCCTTTATCCTAGCTCGAAGGGTCTCTGTCCGGAGCTGAGGATGCCACCATCTTGGTCTAAGTTTAGCCTACAAGCCAAAAGGATACAGGGTGATTTCCTTGAGCCTCTCTCTGGAAACTTCACACACAGCTCAGCTTTTATCCTTCCACCTTACTACATCCAAATCCACTGTGACTCTAACTCTTTTTAGTTAACCTTTCTGCCACTCTGGCCCAATATGAGAGAGAAATGGGGCTTGAATTTAGGTAAGGGCTTTGCTTATCGGAATGTGTTTGTTGAGGGTCTTCACAGAGTAGTAGTTTTGAAGATTTTTGTGGGTGTTGGATTCTTTTGAGAATCCAATGAAAGCTGTGAACCCTCTTCCCAGATAATATATCTTTATATCCACACTATTTGGAGAACAAAATTGAAACCTATCTGTGGAGCCCTGGTTAAGAACCTTACTAGAGGTAGATCAGAAGGTCAGTTTCCTGGTTGCCTCCTCCTGGTTGCCACCTTCAGGTGGCTCCAGAGAGGAGAAGAGTAGGTCCCAAGCCCGAAGAAGAATCAGGGCATGAGGAAGGGGCAGTCTCTCCTCCCATCCGTTATCCCTTGTCATGGAGCGAGGCTGCCAGTCTTGCCAGTTCTCTGCTGGGCAGTCAGTCATACCAACTAAATGGTTAGTGGGAGAGTCAGCCGGGTAGGTGGTTCAAGCTTATCAGATGTTTAGTCATTTAGGCTTAGTAGATCAGTTAGAAACACAGTAGGCCCATTAGAAAGACAATAAGTTAATCAAATGATTTGTAATGTAGAAACTTAACCATTCAGCCAGTCAGTTACTCAGGATTAATTTTTCAAATGGGCAGTAGTATCTCAGCATCCATCAATCAGAAGGTCAATTTAATGGTCTGTCCATTAGGGAGCCAGTTATGAGACTGCTAAACAGCTCCTTGATCAGTGGGACAAAAGGGCAGTTAGGGTAAGACCATCTGGATACAGTGTGTCTCTACATGTTACATCTTGAAGACAGCGTTGGCAGTGGGAAGAGTTGGCTCCTAGGCTGACAGAGGGAGCTTCCGTTTGCGGGGAAAGAGGCCTTGTCTGGTGTGGGGAACAGGAAAAGGAAAAACTGCAGAACCAGAGCCAGGGAAGTTGCCACTAGAGGGCAGTGTGGCGTCCCTTCATGGGCACAGAGTGCAGCTTCAGGCTAGTGGGAGCCCCCGTCTCTGGTCTCTGGCCAGCTTCTGAAGGAAGGCTCCTGAAAGGACTTCTCATTTGGGGAGGACCTAACCAAGATGCGCTTGGCTCCAAGCTGGGAGGAGGGCAGCCAGCTTCCCCCCAGGAGAAGGACTTGTCTTTCCTGGGCACTGCTGCTGGGGCACGCCTGTACGGGGCACTGGGGAGGAGGGTGAGTGGAGGAGGAAGAGCACCTCACTGGTTGGCCCCAGGAGCATGGAGGAGGGCAGCTCCCTAAATCGGAGGCACTGAGGGCAGGATCTGTCTCCTGTCGAGGTGCATGTCACTTCCCAGCCTGCTTTTCCTTCAGTGCCTCTAGGGCCCAAAGAAGGACCAGACCAATTGCCTAAAGCCTCCAGACTCCCACTCCTTTATTGAACTCTGTGGTCAGCTGCTGCATCTGCAACAGGCAGCAACTCTAAAGCAGGAAGATGGAGGTCAGACATAGATAATAAAGGAAACAGGAGGAAAGGACGAACGATGAGATGTTTATGCAAGGTGTCACATACAGCATGGGCACAAAGGGAGTAGGAAGGTTAGAGTTCTTTTCTCCTGCAAAGGGGGGAGTTGTATCTCCCAGTTATACCTAGAGGAGGATGCTGTGCCTCCAGGTGGGTTTCCTGGCTTTAAAAAATGGGCAGGGATGTTTTCTGCTTCTAGCTGGTTTTGGTGATTCAGTGCAGTTAAGAGTAAGTGGGGGCAGTGATGAAGGCTCCCATTGAAGAGGTGCCCCCCTCCACGCGCCCAGGGCTTTCTGTACACTCTCTACGGGGAGGGGTCATCCTGGATGATTTGGGAGGACTCTGGGGCCTAGAGAGACTAGTTGTCTTGCCTAAGGACTTATAGCTGGGAAGTGATACAGAACTGAGTTTGAACTCAGTCTATGTGGCTCCAAAGCACTTTTTTTCCCCCTGGGAGGTGGGGAAGAGGGCACAGATGGGGAGGGGGAGGAGGGTGAAGGACTGGCAGGTTGCTCTGTCCTGAGGACGATTATCTGGGGACGGGGCTCTGGACAGAACTGTCCCCTTCAGAGACTCTGCAAACCTGACACCCCACATGGTGGCATGAAGACCCTTTCTCTCTCTCCCAGGCGTACAAAAATGCATCAGCAACTACCATCTGCTGACAGCCCCTTCAGACTTGTACTATTGCAAGAGAGGTAAGTGGGGGCCAGACCATTAACAACCTGTTGAGTCACCTTAGGGAGCTTGGATTTCTCTAGAAGGTGGTGGAGGGCAAGGGTTTTTATTTTTAATAAGGAGTGGCATGATTCGCTTGGCACAGACGCAAAGGGACTTTCCATATATGGCAGAAGTACTGAGTATGTATTTAGCGCATATTAGTAAGCCCTCATGCGTACTTCACGTGGGGCCCCGTGAGGAATGTTTAATCTAATGGTACAGTGACCCTGAGCGAGGGCTCAGGGGTTGGGCTGATTTGACTCTCAGTTCTGTCACTTCCTGCCTGCGAGGTCTTGGCAAATGACCTGTTCTGTCTGTTTCTTTCCCCCTCTCACAAATGAGAGATAATAATGATGATTTCTAAGCCACAGAGTTGCTGTGAGGATGAAACAAGGTTAGGCTTTTAAAACACAGCACAGCGCTGGGCACATTAAAGCACTCAGTGAATGCTGGCTGGTCTTCACACCCCACACATCGCCTGCTTCCACATCCTTTCGGCCTCCTGCCTTTTCTCAGCCATTGTGAGGCAGCCAGGCCCACGCAGGCTGTGATCTGACAGCATCTCCTCTCACTTCCTGCCCGAGAGCTTCTCAGATGCCAGGTGCCCAGGTGGACATGCTCAGGCATGTTCCACCCAGAAGTATGGGGGAGACAGCTGTAGACAGAGCCAAGGGATAAACGGCCCCGTGCCCACTTTCCCCCAGGTGACCAGTGAGGAGATGCACTTTATAGGGCTTCTAGGAGGTCCCGCAGCTGGAGGGGCTGGTTACCACGGTCAGCTCACTCTGGCATTCCCCTCCCCTTCCCCCTTCCCTGTCCTTCACCTCTGCAACTTGGGACCACATTTCCTACTTAAGGATTTTCCTCAGACTCTGCTTTCAGAGGAACCCAGGCTAAAGCAACGCATTATAAGATGATCCTACTTTCTTGGAAATGCTGCATGAGAAGATGCTAGAAACATGAGCATCCCTAACAAAGATCATCCCCTGGGGTTGGGCAGACTCTTGTCTAAAGCCCACTTTTGCGGTTTTATTCACTTGTTGGAGGGCAGAGGAAATGGTGTGCTGAGGGAGCCGAAGAACACTGGGACCTAGGGACACATAGTCCACATCCAGGCTGCAGTCTGCTACTCACAACTGATGCCATCCTAGGTGGACGTCTGCCTCTGAGCCTCCATTTCCTGAGCTATAAAACAGAGATAGTAAATGCCTGCTCATACGCTGAGTCACGGAGACTCTCATTTGAGTGCGTGGCCCAGTGTCCAGCCCCTGGCATGTGATCAGTAAATGGTGAGTCCTGGTATAATGGCCCTCTGTAATCAGTGTTGGACTGTCCTAGGTCAAGTTTCTCCTGTGGCTTCACATGTGCTTCCTTAGCTTCCACAGTGAAATGGGAAGCCTCTCACAGGCAGGGATAGAAGAAATCTGTGATCAATAGATACATAATCTCTTCCAAATAAATGACTCCAGCTTTACTGCCCAAATTAGCAGAGGCCTTAGTCCTAGGATTTGCTTCTCTTCCATGGCAGATTGGTTCCCAGGAAGCAGACTCTGAGATAGATGTGGATGCAGGAAATTTACTGAGGAGTGTTCTAGTGTCATCACCGTGAAGGAAGGGAGGGAGGCAAGATGGGGCAGAAGTGGGCTGTGCTGCAGTCACAAGGCCTCAGCGGACCCCCTGGGGGGCACTGCAGCTGGGGGGCCCTTCGGGCTTTCCCTCGGGACTTTAAACCCCTGCCCTGCCCGGTCACTTGGTGTGGCTGCCCAGAAAGGAGGCACTGCCAGCCTGCGCACTCCCAGCCACTGTGGGAAGAAGCCCCAAAGTGGGGGATGTGGGTGGTGCAGTTCTCAGGGGTGGCTTTGGAGAATGTGACAGTCACTGCCAGTTCTCTAAGCAGTACCCACTTGCCCCTTCTTCCTCATGAGGAGGGCCTGATTTGTTTGAGACAGCAACATGCCCAATAAAAATACTCACTTTCCTAGACTCCTCTGTCGTAGAGGTAGGCTGAGGAACCCCATGCTGGCCAGAAAGATATAAATAGCAGCCTGGGTTCCTGATGACGTGGTGGAGCCACTAGAGGAAATGGAACGCTTTGCTTAATCACTGTAGTCAGGTTTCTGCTGCATGTAACCTAACAGTCCGGAATGGTTCAGAGACACGTTATTACATCCTGCCTAAGAACATGGGCCTTAGAGTTCATGGATGACAGCTCTGAGTCCCAGCTCTGCTGCATCCCAGCTAGCTATGGAAACCTGAGTCACTCCATCACGCATTCCTGTTTCTATGAAGCGAGAATGACAGTACTACCTAGTGCCTGTCTCACATTACACTAGGATAACCAGCTTGTCCCAGTTTGCCTGGAACCTGACAAGTTTTAGCACTGAAAGTCCCACATCCTGGGAAACTTCTCAGGCCCAGGCAAACCGGGACAGCTGGTCACCCTATTAAATCTCCCCAAAATAGCTACCTCCTTTACAAATGGAAGTTTGGGCCCTGAAGGCTAACAATTATAGTTGATGCTGCCCTCTAGTGGCTGAGTATAATATAACGCAACTGCAGAGATGAAGTTTCCATTATGTAGTTTTTCCTTAACCAAAACAGTAACCACAGAAGGTCAGAAGCAGAGTTGGAACATTCTCCTAACCATTTAGAGTCAAACTTATAACTGTTGTAATCCCACTGTATTTTAATACTCAGTGATAATCACCAGCAAATATGGTATCTTTTGGGGCTATTGGCAGGATTAAATGAGTGCAGGAAAGCCTTTTCCATGGTGTGTCACAATCTGTGTGCTATAATGTTCACTGGTCTCATGGAAACTTGGGTTAGACTCTGCACTTTGACTCTTCCTTTGAAAGGTGACTTCACTCTCATCAGTTTGTTTCCTCATTAGTGTTAGGGGTAATAGGGCCTTCCTCACAGGGTTGTTTAGATTGATAGAGATACTTGTGGAGCCCCTCTTGGGAAGCAGGACCCCAAAAATGGTGGCTTTACTACTGACAGTTATCCAGAAGCCAGGCCTCAGGCTATCCCTCAGTGAGGGGCTCTGCAGCTCTGGGAGGAGCTGTCCCGGCCCCTCAGGGATGCCTTCTCCCCATCAAGGCCAGTCTCAGCGGGCAGTAGGACTTCATAGGCCAGGAAGTCCTGCTCAGACACTCTGACGAAGTCAGCTGGCTCCTCTTAAGCTGGAACGATGATTACTCCTCTGAGCTGGTCACCAGGCAGGCACCATCAGGGCACAACCCAACGTTCAGTTCAGTGGCCTTGAACAACGGGAGCTAACCAGTGCCCGGGCCAGAACTCTGAGCTAGCCCTGATCAAAGCCAGAACTGCAGTGTAAACCCCAGCTGTGTTCTCCTTTCTACTTATGTTGTGTTTAAACACACCAGGGTGCGCCCACTCTCGTCTGGACTGCTCCATCTGTTCAGAAGGCTTCCTAAAGAGTCAGAGACTCTAACACAAGCGTCCCTGCCTCTCCTGCCGTAGTCTTTATGAGTTCTAAAACAAGGAATTACTCAAATCTTCCAAATATTTAATTCTGCTGTCACTACAAAGACCCTCAAGTAGGCTTAATAGCAATATTGGATTAAGTTCTTCAATTCTTTCTTTCTTTTTTTATTGAAGTAAAGTTGATTTACAATGTTGTATTAATTTCTGGTGTATAGCATAATCATTCAGTTATACATATACATATATATTCCTTTTCATATTCTTTTTCATTATTGACCATTACAAGGTATTGGATATAGTTCCCTGTGCTATACAGTAGGACCTTGTTGTTTATTTTACATTATCTATTTTATATATTCAATTCTATTTCTAAGTGAAATTAGAGAAAGAATATGTACTCCACTCACATTAATCAACACATACAATTGGTGGCTTCTCTGCTCTGTTCTGTGTGCCTCAGTTGCCTTGTAGTCCTGTTTCATTACCTTGGTGTTAAGTTTTAATTTTGTTCACTTTTAATGACAATTGAAAAATATGTCTTATCTATATCATGAAATTATGACATATTATGCTATGACTGTAAAAAGAGCTTTTATTCTTTCTACTGCTCCCCCATGGCATCCCCCTCTCTCAGTGTGGAAATCTCCAAGACATGCTATTAAGGGAAGCAAGTTAATGAGAAATATGCCTCAGACATATTGTTAAAGGAAACAAATGAATAAAAATATATTTTAAGGGAAGCTAGTCACAGAACAATATATGTTAAATGATCTTGTTCCTATTAAACATTACCTATATTTCTGTATCTGCGTGTTAAGTTTCTGGAAGAATGTCTGTCCAGCAGCTCACAGTATTCTCTCTAGAGGTGGGATTAGAGAACTTAATCTCTGAAGTTGTTTTCAGTATTGTTTGATCATCTCCCAATGTGCACGTAGTAATTTTAATCATGAAAACAAGGAAGCTGACCATGCAGTGTGTACCCAAACATCTTCCATAAACTAAGCCATCGAGACCACTGCCCTGAAACCGAGGACAAAATCCATCAGCCTCAGCTGGGTGCTCCGGGTTTGTTTATGGAAATGAAATGTCTCAGAACTCAATACTGAGGAGATGCTTTAATGCCTGATGTCATGGGAGGCAAAGCCTCTATCTACACTTTTAATGTTGGCTCTTATCCAAAATATTTACTCTTACCAACAGATGTTGGGAATTGATTTTTAAAACATCTTCTGATTCACCTTTATTTTAATTCTTCAAGTTGTGTTTAGCAGTTCTGATTCCCACTAGATCATTAGTGGGAGCAAAAAAAAAAATGTGCTTAGGCTTTAAATCCTTGAGAGACAACACACAATTTTCAGCAATAAAAAAAGCACTTAAGATAAATTTTCACCCAGTCCAAGGCCACCAGCTGTGACATATCCTCTCAGCCCTGATACTGCTGTTGGAGAAGGAAGCCGCAGCCCCTCTGTGGCCCAGTGCAGGACCCTGTCCCTTCCCGTCACCCCTGCTGGGCCCAACTGGGCCCGGGGCTGGCCACCTGGGCCAGGGGGCCGGGCCATCCCTTCCCCACGTGTCCTGCAGAGTTTTCTAATTTAAAACATTTTTTTTATCTATACATAAAAAAGATAAATTAAAAAAACACTGGAACTCACCTCAAAAGAAACAGAAGGACTTATAGGTTACAAGCCATGAGTGTATGTATGAGTTTTCTTCAAAAATTTATTAATAGAAACAGACATATTCAAATGCAACATTGGACAAAAACAAAGAGGGAAGGATGCAATGCCAACGGCACTGGGGAATCTCACTTGTACTTGACATTTCTTCGCACAGAACTAGCACCATTTTAGTCAGAAATCACAGATTTAATTATAATTGCTTCTAATATATAAAATACCTTACAAAGATTATTTAACTATCTAGTAACAAAGTTCTTCCAAAAACTTATTTAAAAACCAAATTCGAAATTTACCATTTGAAACTGACGAAAATGGTTTAAAAATCAATCCGACTCTACGGCTTGTTAGAGGGAATGAGCCATCATTAGTTTTACTGGAAGAAAGTACCTGATCTCAAGCTTCCGGCTCCCTTCTAAACCACCAAGCAGATAGAGGAAACTGAATAGTACATAGAATAAGAGCACATCTAAAACTGGTCTTAGAAAATATTCTCCTAGACTATAAAAATACTAAATGGAATACAAAAATTTCAGCATATACAGCAAGTAGACTACAGCAGACAAATATTTCAAACATACTCGAAACTATCTTATACCACAATCATCATGAACATCAAGTATTATTCTAATGATTTTTCTCTGATTCACTGTAAGTCCTTGTTTACCTCCCCTCAGGTTGTGTTATAATGTCGGATACAGACCAGATTCCGTGTTTCTCACAGAAGTTAGTGGAGGCACCGCTGAATGAGTCTCAGTATTCAGCTGGTGCTCTCTCAAAGTGCTGAAGGTGCAGTTGTAGCAGAGCCTGGCTTTTAGCTCAGGGGTCAGCAAACTACAGCCCATGGGCCACACCTGGCCCACTACGTGTTTTGTGTGGCCAGTGAACACAGCCACGCTTACTCACTCACATTGTCTGTGGTTGCTCTCATCTTATAAGAGCAGAGCCACGTAGCTGTGCCAGACGCTCTATGTGGTCTTTTGGTCCACAAATCCTATAATATTTACTATCTGGCTCTTTACAGAAAAAGTTTGCCCACCCTGATTTTAGAGAAATTACTTCAGGCCATTTTTCACTGAACAGGGACAAGGTCATATTGCCCCAGATTATGAAAATTTTGGCTGAGGTTTGCTGGTTCCATCATACAGTACCAAGGCAGATCAAAAGAATACACATTTAGATTGGCAACTTTGGGTACTGAAGTATTATTCTGGCATCATAAGGAGAATCTGGCTATGATTAAGTACCTTCCTTTCCTGTGAACTCGCCGTTGTGGACCAAGTCACTCATGTACCCAGTTACAGCAATATACTCACTGTTCAACCCAAACCATCTACGTGGCCCCCAAGCACAATCTCCGGCCTTTAAAAGTCTATCGTTTTGTACCCTTAGCAACAGATAGAAATAGAAGCGAACCTTTCCCACCTCTTCGTATTGACATAGATTCTGTTAGCGCCGCACTGCCTACCTTTCAGAGTCCTTCCCTGTGACATGCATCATGATAATTAGTACCACCACCACCAAGGGCCACAAACATGTCCTTTTTGACAAAGCGGACTAAGTTTTCGAGGGGGCACATGGGCTTGAGAGAACGCTTGTGGTGGTCCCGGCAGAAGGAGGTGTGGAACGTGACATCCACGCCGTTGTAGAGAATCCGGACGGAGTGCTCGCTGGGTTTCTCCCTGTCTTGCCACAGCTCAAAGATCAGCCTGGCTGCAAACCTCGGGAATCTGGCTTCCTTAAGGCCCAAGGCACTAAGAACTGGCGACAGGGTGACATCGTGAGCCGAGTAGAGAGCAAAGAGCTCTCCCCGCCTGCCCTCTGCGGCGCGCTGCATGCGGCCGATGGTCTGGTTCAGGATGGGGTGGGCGCCAAGGAGCGCGTACCCCAGATACAGTTTCTTCTCCTGCCTCTCTCTCTCATCCTCTATCTGATGCATCTTGATCACCTTGAAGTGCTCCATGCCAATGCAGCCATTGCGGGTGCAAGGGAAGCTGACGTTGTGGCAGAAGTGGCAGAGCATGGAGTCTATGGGGTTGGCAGCCCGGAGCTGCTTGGTGGGGACGTCCACGATCCTGGCCATGTCCCCGTAGGTCCTCTCCAGCTGGTTGTTTTTCAAACGTAACAGGTACTGCCGACGCTGCTCCTTTTCCAGATAATGGTTCCTCACCGGGCAATAGCAGTTTCCAGAGCAGAACAGAGCACTGGGCTGGTGCCTGAAATAAATCTTCTTCCAGTCAAAATCGGGGAGAAAGCCATAAAGCAAGGCCAGCCCACTCTGCAGCGTCCGGCTTTTGCCAGTGGTCTCTAAGTAAAGCTGGCCCGTGGACCAGTCACTCGGCAGGAGCTTGTGTTTCTTTAGATAGATGTCCCTCAGCAGCTGGCCGTTCTGCAGGTGCTGCACAACCCCTGAAACACAAGAGTGCCACATGCCTGCATGACTACCCGCTTAGCAGGGGGAGCAGCTGGGGGGGCCACGGCATGTCCAACTCTGGAGTGCTTTAGGCAGCGTATGATTATATGACCGAGCCCAGCCACTGCTGCATGGAAGCCACAAGAATGGGCTCACATCAGGGTGCAAAGGGAGCCCTGTGGGCTTATCCACAAAGGGATGAGCAGAGCCCTGTCCTCTGGACCCACGGACTTTCCAGGGAGCTCAAGGACCATCTATCTGCCTCCATCCCTCCCTGTTGACCGGCCTCTCCTCCGGAGAGGGGCATGACTGGTGGGGCTCAGAGGGCAGGAATCACCCCGCTGGTGGACATCTAGGTGATAGTCGGCAGGGGCCTAAGGAGAGCTTTCTCTCTCCTGGCCAGGGACACAGCGTTCCCCAGTGTGCCCAGGGACTCATGGAAATCAGTCAGGCAAGGGGAACAAATCACTTGCTGACTGCCTAGTCCCCTCCCTGTGGGGGATTCCCTCCTTCACCCCACCACCCTACTATCCCGGCTGAAGGCTCTCTGCTAACCTAGGTACGTCCTGCCCAGTCCTGCTGGGGCTTCACCTGCTCACCTGCAAGGATACTCTCTCTGTATGGATGTGGGATGATCTCCCAGATACCCAGACAGAATATTTGGGGGAAAAAAGAAAAAGGCAGAACAGTATGTTTATTGCACTCCTTTTAAATAAAAATGGGGGAAAAAATAAGAACGTGGATTGGCGGCTGCCTGTGTTTTGCATAAGGAACCTTAGGAAGGCTGCACAATGGTTACCTGGGGATGACAGGGGCACAGAAATGGGGGCAGGGGGATGGAACGTGGGTAGGAGCACGAATTTTAAGTTTATCTTTTAGTTGTAGTTTTGGACTACATGCAGGAACTGTGCCATAGTACAGTAATACATTATCCTGAAAGATAAAGTGAAAATGCCTTATCTTCAAGCAGAAGGCAGTCCAAGGTAAAAGCAAGCTCCCCCTCCAGCCAACAGGATGTTAGGATGGAATTTCAGAGAGAAATCTGAATTTTCTGAGCGTGTAAACCACAGGCAGGCCCAATGACCAGCAATGCCATTTATTCAGCTACCCAAATGGTTTGAAAAGCCCCACTATGTTGATGAGACAACTTCAGGCTGAAATGCATGAGACAGAGGGAATGGTGTAGGCCCAGGAAGGGAACAGCTCAGGAGAAAACCCACGAAGGATGTCTGCATCCTGCTCTGAATGAAGAGTACTGAGAAGCAGAATTCCCTCAGAGATCTGGGCTGGGTCAGGTCTTAGCACTTCCAAGTGGCCTGCAAAACGGGCAAACTGCAAGTGACAAACATCAAGAATCTGTCTGGCCGCCATTCCCCTCTGGGCCTACCTGTACTCTGAGGCTACAAATGTTAAGGTTGGCGTGTTTACCAGGTGCCGGACCTTTCTCCTTTAATCCTCACAAAAACCCAGCAAAGAAGGCATATTATTGTCCCCCTTTTCCTTCTTTTACAGAGGAGAACACTGAGGCCTGAGCCTTTCACAGTTAACAAGTGGTCGAGGCAGAACTCCAGCCCCCATCTGGCGCCAACCTTGTGCTCTGAGTCCCGGCTCACAGCCCTGTCTCCCAACATGTTCACGCAGAAACACCGAGTTCCACCCTTCTAGGGGCTTCTCCTTCTCTCAAAACACAGCCTGCATCTTCATGACTCTGTTCATGCCCTTCCCTTTCTCTGCCCAGTGAAATCCTCAACTAACACCTGGCTCCAGCACCACCTACTCTGTCGCCTTCTTCTCTCCCAGTTTGGATTCATCATTTTCCCTCCTGTTGGCACAGCCCGCTGGACCTCTGAGGCATTGCTGTATTCATTATTCACTGAGTCTAGTTTATGCTAGCACTGTGCTGGGCATTTAATGCACGTCATCTAATTCAACTTGCCACCAGTTCTGTCGGGAAGATGTCATGAGCCCCATCTCATAGTGTGTCTACTCCAGGGCCCATGTTTATTCTGTAAGAGCCTGCAGCTGTCAGCGGTACCCTCAGTGGGCTCCACGCACTATCCGATGGCAGCTGCGGGCTCCGTTAGGACAGGCAGGGGAGCATCCTAGCCCTCCAGCCACCCCCTCCCCTTCAGGCAGCAGCTGCCAAAGCATCTGGGACAGAGGAGGCACGGATGATCAACCTCATCTTACAGAGCTCTGCAGGGTGCCCAGAGTGTGCCAGTTATAAATGATTATTCCAACAGAGATGCAAAAACTCAAATAGAAGATAAAAGTGACCATTAAAAGAGAACAAGGAAAAAGGAGCAAAGAGTACTGCAAAAATGATTTCTAGAGTAATATTAATTTAGAAAATGGTGATAATAGATCAACTGAGAAGAAAGATCAGAATGAATAATGCTCGATGCAGTTACCCGACCACCTAGCCAGCTGGTGGACACTGACCCTCAAGGACTGCACCAGGTTCTCTCAAGAATTTGAACTTGTAAGTTCATCTCTAGGTGTGGCTAGGACTGTCTCTGTTGACAGACACACAGCAAAACCACAGAGGCAGGGACAGACAGCTTTTTTATTCCTGGTTACAGCCTCTGGAGGCCTGGTCATATTCTTGCCCTTAGAGCCTGTGAGTCACCCAAACTCTTTATAATGAATGACCTTTTATTGCTTGAGTTACTCTCTGTTACTCACAACCAGTGATCGTCAGCCAGTATGGTTCTGCCCTCAGGGAGGGTTTGGGTTGCCACAATAACAGAGAGGAACGTTCCGGACACCTAGCGGGTGGGGCCAAGGGGCTAGACAGTCTCCACAATGAACTCTTCTCTGCCCCACATAGCTTTTGAATGCACAAGACATTCCCACATGCGAAAACCCTGTTTAAATACTTCAGTTTTGAATCCAGCTTTTTGTGTCTATAAACACAAAAGCATTTTTGCACAACATTAGCAGCCTCTGAATTTTCCAGAAATGCAATATAAACTAAGGCACATCTGTATTTTGTTTTGATCAGACCTTGTCAAAAAAGTAAAAATCATGTCCTGACAGGAGGTATCAGAGTCACCAGTACAACACCCTTCCGTCTACGTTTGTAGCTGTCACAGACACCAATCTCCACTGAAGTGCAAGCAGTCGGTTACCTTCTATTTTCTAGTAAAGGTGTGCACAAGCATTTATGTTGAAATATATAGAAGTACATAATAGTTTCCTTTTGTTCCTTTATATTACAATTAGGGTGCCTGATACAACTTTATTTTAAATTATGTCTATAGAAAGGTTATATATATATATTTCAGGTTAGTTAAAGGAACTTCACAAAATACTTGTTAATAAAAGGGGGCACTGGATCTGATGGGAGGTGAACTGTTTTAAACTAAGGCAGAGCTTGTTTGTGTGGAACTAATTATCAAAAGCTTTTGGCAAAACTCCTTATTCGAGGCTAGTCCCCCAGAGCCTTCAGCTTGCCCTTCTCTGTCACTTACTATCACTCTCTCTAGTAATAACAGCTTTTAAAATATGGCAAAACAAACAGGGCCAAGTACCAGGAGGGAGACCTTCCCTCCATCAAAGCTGAAGATGCTGTTGGAACAAGATAATGGAACATGGTCATCCCAATCCTTCCAAAAGGCTTGTGACCAAGCAAAGGTCCTTTGAGGCCTCAGACTGAAGAAACAGGTCTTAGGGGACCACCAGCACCTTCTCATCCCAACAAAGGTGACCCCACACTTAACTCACCAACCTATGCTTTCAGTGAACTGGATGCACAACGGTACAAACGGGGCTGTAGAGGGAGAGATAGGCTTCTGTGAGGAACCCACTTGCCAGACAAACTCTATGCTCAGCAGGGCTCTGCCGTTCACAGGTCTCCCTGAGATCTTGCGCATTAAAACCTTTCAGCTGTTTTGTCTGACATATCTAAGAACATGGGATTGGTTACATAAGTCGTGGCCCATCCACAGTGGAATAATATGCAGCCATCAAGAGATGTTGATGAATTATTGATAGGGCAAGATTATCACAATATATTGTTATATGAAAAAGTGGGTTAGAAAATAGTGTGATTAATAAGATACCACTGTGTGTATGTATATGTATGTGTGTGTGTGTGTGTATGCATGTGCTCTCACAGAGGTGTCTCATTAAACACAGGAAGAAAGATTACTAATTTCTTTGATGGGATTATAAATGCTTTAAATTTTTCTTCCTTTTGCTTAATTGTCTTTCCTAGTTTCTCTTCTATGCACATATATTGTTTTTGTAATAAGAAAAAAGGTTATTTTTAATTTTTAGAAATCAGATGTTTAGTTAGATACCTTGGTAGGCTCACGGCCACTTGAGGTGCTGGTCCTGACTCACCCCTGCGCCCACAGAGCCCACCCCAGGAGGCCCTGCTGCACATGTCTGTCCGCCAAATGCAGGAGCAGGTGGGGGAGTACGTGGGGAGACGGCGGTCGCACATACCTGTCTGCGTCAGCTCTCCCATCTCACACAGCTGGTGACTAGGGTAAAGAGGCAGTGAGTGCAAGGGGCTTTCGAAAGAGGCTCCGGATCCTTTTGACATGTGACTAACGAAAGCCTCCAGCTTAGGGTGATATGGTTTCCTAAAGAGACAACACAGAGGATTAGTGGTAAGCGTGCTCCAAAGCTGTCCACAGCGACTGCAACTTCAGCAAGCAAGATCCCAAGTGAATCATGCCCTTTCTCACCTACACGGTCCATTCCAATTTCTTTCTTACTCGACCACTGGTATCTACACATAACATCCCCACTCCATCAGGCCAGCCCAAGTCCCCGCCCTCTGCTGGAGCGCCCATCATTCTCTGCACGGAGGGAGTCAGCACTGCCCTCAGCCCACGCCTCTCCTGTCTCCCTCTCTAGGAGGCACAGACCCCCACCCGGCAGCTAAGCTTAGGATGGGGGGGTCCTCCTCCATTTCTCCCTCCCCCACCTCTGCACACGTGTTCTCCTGGGCTTCTCCACCCCTCTCCTCTGCATCCCTGCATCCCTGGGCAGGTTCTGGATGGCATGGGCTCTTCCTCAGCCCGCCTGCAGGCTCATCTTGCCTCCTCCACTGTCAGTGAGATTGACGTAAAGGGCAACCCAACCGTCACTGCTCTTCCCTGGAAGGAGTCACGCACAGCTGTCTCTCTATTTTGGCCCCCCGTCACTTTGAGGCTCAGGGCTCCCTAACACTGTGCTCTGGCCACATGCAGCATGTGCCTTCTGTGGCCCCAGCACACCTCGTTCTTTATGCTTCCAAGACTTTCCTCACGCTGCCTCTTTCTCCTAGAAAACTCACCCCAACCTTCACTGGGGTAACCCTCAGTTGCGACCTCTGGAAAATCTGTGAAGAAAATAACTAAGATAACCCAGATCTCTACAGCTCACTATGCATTTTGCACACATGGGATCTCCTAGAACGTGGGGTGGTAATGAATAGTGAAAAAAAAAAGGTTATTTATGAGATCTGATATTTATATTTCCTCCATGAAGTACACGTAGTAAACCAAGATTTATTGTTCTAGTCACTAACACACAATTTCCCTGAAAAATGAAACGACCTATGAATACATACACATTTTCTCTGAATAATGAGATGACCAATGAATATCCTCACCTTTTCTTTGAGTAATGAAATGGCCTATGAATGTTTATACATCTTCCAGCTGAACAGAGGCGGACAGATAGAGTAGTTCCCAACTAAACTAAATCGGCATGAAAAGAAGCAAAGATACATTGTTTAACGGCAATTCCCTGCTATCTGAAAGCCTAATTAACTTTGGCAGTGCTTTTACCAGGGCTGCCAAAATGGGTTTATTATCTCTCAAAAACATAAAGCTAAAAAAAAAAAAACCCATTACAAAAATATGTTTCAAAATTAGAGACTGCTAATCCTGATGCAGTGCATTCTAGTAAGTCACCCTGGTGGCTGCAGGGCATTATGGCTTTCCCTAAAAAACAGAGAATATGTTCTTTCTCCTGAGGCTAGAACACATAAATATTCACAAGCTGGGAAATAAAACGTCCAGACTTGATAATGAGGCTGCCAAAACAAATCCATATAAACAAAGGCCAGCCATCAATAGGAGTCAAATATTCTGCTCCAGGCCATTATTTCAGGTTGGAGAATTTTTTGAGGATCTGACAAAGCTTTGCTACCATTTTAGAAATGCAATTTCATGACTGACAGTATTTGCCGAGATGTTGTGGATTTTCTGGGCACCTGATGATTTAATGATGCGTTAATATCCAACTGTATTTGTGAGAACTTGTTTTTGATAGGGAAAGATGAAGATGCATGGAAGAAGAACTTCACTTCCAGAAGAGATACCAAATGACTGGGTCTTTTAAACAGGAAGAGGACCAGGTAGCCTGAGTCCCCGGGCCTGTCCAGGAACTGAATGACCAGGTCCTGACTGCCTCATCCACTGCTCCATCCCTGGAGCTGAGAGGGTACCTACCTAGCACATGGTGGAGACATGTGTGAATGAATTCAACTGGGAAATGCCCCATCTTTAGATGCTTCAAGAAAAATGTAAGCCTTCTATCTGTAGCAATGAATATGGCATGTTCCCACAGTGCTTATTAAAATATTCAGATTTTGATGGAAATATTAAAAATGAAGGCTGTTGTGAGTGAGACTGACATGTGACAGACCAAACTCTCTTTGACCAAACTTTAGTCTCCTCTGAACCTCTTCCCAACCTGGGCCTGGACCTCCGGACTTTCATGTCCTTTGGCTTTATGTCTGCCTTTGCATGCTGCTAAATCCTGCTAGGTGGGTTTAGACAGAACCTCCCACTCTTGATATCTGATGACCCCTGGTATCTGATCAAATTCCTCATCCCTCAGTGGTATCTGATCACTCTGGTCTGCCTCCAGCATGAATTCTTTAGCCAGAAGCCCCTCACCCTTGGTGGCTCCTCTTAGTAATCTTCCATCCACTGACTCCCACCCTGCTGCTTGGCTCCCAATCCCCACTTGTCCAGGCTGTGTTTGGGACTGAGCCCGGTTCTATACCAAGGTCTCTTTTCTCCTACTGCATTAATTCCTGAGTAAGATCTGTTTTTCCTGCTTTACCTTCTGCCTGGCTCTGGTTCTTCAACAGTTATGTACTACAATCTTTCCTCCTCTTCCTGAACACTTGATTAGATCCCATTTCTAAGGAGCTCATGGCAGTTAGAGCCACGTGACTAAGTACCCGCCAGTGGAGTGGAAGGACATCCACCCAACCGGGTTTAGGCTTTCAGGTCCTGGTGTGCCCCCTTCACACTCTCTTCCTTCCCTCTGGCCGCTACTGAGGCACAGCAGCAACCCAGGTGCAGTCACGTAGACGTCCCTAAGGCATGGTGGGAGCAACAACCTGGAAGGAACCTGGGGCCCTGAACAACCAGGTGGAGACAAGTCATACAACCTGGAACACTCATCTCAGACCTTCATGCAAGGAAGAGAGAAATTGCTGTGATTTAAGGCAATGCATTCTTGGCTCTCTTTTATAACAGCATGCAACCTAGCCTTACCCTGACTAACACAAAAATGATTATAACTGTGATGATAAGTTTTTCTTCAAGAAACACTCATGCTATTGTAGCCTCGTTAGAAATCTACCTTCATACTGAAAATTGAAAGAACCAGCACTGCTACTACCATAGGCCTTCAAAGAATTCACTTCAGAGCTCTTATTTACATTTTTATATGCATTTTCCACACCTACTTATGCCACAAAGCTCAAGACAGAACCCTGAGGCTGATCTCCACACCCATGAGAAAGTGTATTGTGCTGTAGCCATAATCTGAGCAATTACTGAGTTCTGCACAGAACATTGAGGCAAGCAGAGGAGACGTGTAAGACCAGTGACACTCTTACCAGAAAACACAATTCAAAACCTGATATGGCTGGAGACTGGAATAAGCTTATACCACTGATTTTTATAATTTATGCTAATTAAAGAATTTATTATTTTATATTATTAATAAAATGAATTTATTTATGTATTTGGGGGGTTATTTATTTATTTATTTTTAAAGGAGGTACTGGGGATTGAACTCAGGACCTTGTGCATGCTAAGCATGCGCTTTACCACTGAACTCTACCCTCCCCCCAGTAAAATGAAATTCTCAAAATATGAACTCAATATACTCTTCTAAGTCTTTCACTTTCTGGACCACTTTGCTCTGTTTGATGTGCTTACCCACTGAACGCCCCCTTCCTTAGCTCTCATAACATCATTCTCCTGCCTTCTTCCTATCTGCTCACCATCTCCTCCGGGGACCCTCCTTTCTCTCTGGGCTATCATTGGTTGGTGCTCTTACAGGACTCTGTTTTGGGCCCTTCCCTTGCTCCTCAGGCTCTGTGTGTGATACCTAATTGAAACCCACTGCTTCGGCTACCATCGACATGCTGAACTCTGAAATCAACCTCTATCGCCCTGGAAGCCCATGTTCCTGAGCCCCACAACTACTCAGCCTTTACCACCTTCCAGAAATCATCACTTGGAATCTGATGACAGCACAGACTGAGCACAGAGACCTGTCCACATAACTTCGCTCCCAACCCTCCACTCTTCCGTGCTCTCTCTTCTGGGGAGGGGCACCACCACCAGCCAGAGACCCAATCAGAAACTGGGGCACCATCCTCTCTCTCTTTCTCACCCCCATCCAACCTGTCACCAGGTCCTATAATCCCACCTTGTGATAGTCTCTCAGATCAACCCCCTCTCTCCATCTCCCTGAGTTCCAGAATGAATCATTTATTCACTCAGCCAACACTTAATCATGCTCTTCCCATGTGCCAGGCACTGTCCCAGGTACTTGGGATACACCTGCACTCAACAAAAACAAATAAAAACCACTGCCCTCAGGGAGCTTACATTCTAGCTTGGGGAAACAGGTAACATATAGTGAACACGCTAAATGAGTGTGTGTGTGTGTGTGTGTGTGTGTCTGTGTGTGTGTGTCTGTGTGTCTGTGTTAGAAGGCAACAGAGGTTGTGAAATGCTGATGAATTTATTACATGGAAGAGCAAGGTAAGGGAGACCTGGAGACTTGGGTGGAAGGAGAGTGGAGAGCGCACTGGTATTTTAACTGCAGAGTTCTGAGTCATCTTACTGAGAAGGTGGCATTTGAGTAAAGACTGGAAGGAGGTGAGAGAAATGGCCATAAAGCTACCCAGGGAACAGCCACCTAGCGAGAGGACACAGTCACCACAAAAGCCCTGCCATCAGCAGCGGGAAGCAGAGTCGGGGTCAGAGTGGTTGAAGCAGATGAGTGAGGACGAGGGGGGCAGTAGGGCGGGTCTGACGGGCAAGGGGAGGAGGGAGAGCACAGGGGGTCTTGCAGGTCATTTTAAGTTCCTGGGCTCTGACTCTGTGCAGGCTCTCTACTGAATTGCTGTCCCTGTGATAATGGAAACACCACCACCAGCCTCCAATCCATCCTCCACCTCACGGTGGCCAGAGATCAGCAGAATTTCACCCCTTCCCTCTCCAGCTCTCTCACCACCTTCACACCTGGAGTCCACACTCCTTAGCTGGGCATTCAAAGCATCAGATGACCTAGTCCCTACCCTTCTCCACTCCAAGCTCAAGCCCGTGGCTGGGCTGTCCACCTCCCCACACCTTCGCACAGGTAGGTCTCACCACCCAGGGACTGTTTATCATTGGCTGCTATGTGACTTGTTCCTGCCCACCCACTGGGTCCCTTTCTATTGGTGACTTTCCCGATCTCCCACCCCACCTCTCCTCCTTGCCCCAAGCTGGGTCCAGCTGCCCTCTTCTGGCTCATATCCCAGATATGATACCCAAACTACTTCCACTTCTTCTTAGTCTTTTCCCACATTGTTCTCTAATCCTCCTGCTGCTGCTACACCTGCACTGGCCACAGCTCACTGAGGCTGCTCTTGCACCAGGCACCGCATCTGTCTTTCCAGGGTGAGTGGGGCCCCTGAGGGCAGGAACAGCTTTTCTTCTGGGAACCCTCAGAAGCCCCTCTCCCCTTCATTCCTGCAGTCCGGCCACACATTGGCCTTTTTGTTACTCATGCTCAGCTCTTCTAGCCCCAGGCCCTTTGCACTTGCTAGTCCCTCCATCCTCCTTCCCCCAGATCGTCATAGGACTGGCTCCTTCACATCTCTGAGGTGTTTGCTCACGTGCCACCTCCTGTTAAATGAGCCAGGCATGTGTGACAGTACCTGCCACATGATAGGTGTTTAAAAATAACATGGGGGGAGGAGGGTATAGCTCAGTGGTAGAGCACGTGCTTAGCATGCACCAGGTCAATCCCCAGTACCTCCATTAAAAACAAAAAAAGAATTAAATTTTTTTAAAAATAAAATAAAAATAAAAAATAAAAACAAAATGTATTGAATAAATGCTGATTGAATCTTCACTTCCTCGAATATAGAAAAGAATATTTAATTCCTATTCATGAATGCAAAAAAAAAAAAAAACCCAAAAACTGTTGACTAAACACAGCCTATTGATGGTAATAACCTTCCTGCTGGCTGAACATAGTCCTGTGAGGGTTTTAAAAAAAGCACCTTTGTCACAAGGCGTGTGACATTCACGAAGAGGCAGCTTCCACTGCAAAGACCTTGAGAGCCAGGAAAGGTGTCCTTGTGGAGGGAAACATGGGGGTGTCTGGCCCCTACTGACTCAGCTCCCTGCACCCCACGTGCTGGCCCAGACAGTCCCCTTCACCAGACCAGGGTAATGGGCACACTTCAGGATGCACCGCCTTCGAGAAGGCCATAAAAATTAATCATTTATGAAGCTGAACTGGCACCTGGAAGGCGGCAGGCACAGCTGCTGACCCAGATCCCACAGTCCCAGGGGAGGCAGAGGCCCAAAGTGGGTCCGCTTTGCTGGGAGTCCTGCTCACTCTTCCGCGATATGCATGTTTGTAATGACAAATCAACTTCTATTGTTTTTAAAGATGGAATTTGTTAAGTGACATGAATTAATTAAACATGCTTACTCCACCCACTTTCTATAAACGATTGAAAACAGTTCGTAAAAATACAGAGTGTTGGACAGAATAGAACAAGGCCAGAAGTTCAAGGCCAGGGGAAATGAGGGCAGACGCAGCCCGGGCAGCCGGTCCTCAGAATCGCGCCTCTAGAGTGGGAGCTCCGGAAGCGGCCCCGTCACAGGGGCCTGCCGTCGCTGTGGCAGAACGAGGGGCCCTGGGACCTGGCCTGGCCTCGTCAGGAAAGGAGGCTGGGCCCGGAAGGCTTCAGGCTGCTGTGGAACAGAAAACTCCACATCTCAGGCTCTCAGCGGGGACTGGGCTCAGTGCTTTACTCCGTCACCTTAGTTAGACCTCACAAGGATGCTATAGGGAGGCATTACTATCCCCATGCTCCAGAACAGAATGTTGAGGCCCAGAGAGGTAAAAAGATTTGCCCTACATCAAATAGGTGACCATGGCCTCAGAGGATTGGATTCTGTGGTAGAGGCTCCAATCTACTATGACAGATACAGGACAGGCAATTACGACCTGTGGTTCTCACTGAGGTCCTGAATTCACTCTGCCACCAACCCAGACCAGCAACTCTTACCCGCCAGGCTTGGGCTGGACACCGGTGACCCAGGAAGGAGTCCTGGGGAGCTGGTGGTGCAGGGAGGGCAGAGACAACGATGCTGGGAGGACAAGCTACAGTGCGCCCAGCGGAGGCCTGCACGCTGCCCTGCAGCCCTGCCCCAGAGGCCCCGTCTCTGGGAAGAGCCAGGTGGCCCCCAGAGGCCTCGAGGTGTCCAGGGGCCTTCCAGCAATAGCTGACCAGTCTGCGGGCAGATCCATTCTCACGCCTGGGACGCTGAAACCCAGCAAAAGCGAGCAGAAGCTGCCAGCTGCCAGGGCTGAAGCAAGGTAACTTCCACAGGCTGAGGCTGCCCTGGGTCTGGCCAGCTCAGAGGCCTAGTGGCCTCTCTGTCCGCAGGCTACTCATAGGGCACATATCAATCAGCATGGACAGCAGGCCTGTGCCAGCTGTTAGCACACTGAAGCCCCACTGTGCCCAAAGGAGCAAAGCCACTTCCCCTCGCTGCCCTCCTTGCACCCTACCCTGTGTCCTCCTGCCACCCCCGATGCTCCAGCCCAGAAAGTAAAGGGTTAATGCCCAGCACAGCAAGTAGCCTCCACCCCTGCCCTAGTCCTAAGGCCAGTTAAGGTCTGGTCATTAAACATTTTGTTCTGAGACCCCTCCTGTACATCCCGTTTTCAGGTTGAGTGAGGCAGAGGCAGTGCCTGATACAAGCAGAGAATCTCTCATATTGGGAGAGGTTTCCGAGAAGGGGTAACATCCCAGGGGGCCTCAAAGGAGCTACAGAAGGCATCCAGCACGCCAAACGGCAGGTGCGAAGGCCTGAAGGGTGAGGGGCCAGCAAGCCGTGGTTGGCAGGGGGAGAGGGTCCCAGCAGAAAGGCTAGAGATGAGGAAGAAAGCCAGTGTCTTCTCCATGGGCTCTGACACGGGCTGGACTCGACCCAGGGTGTTTTCCAGCCCGTGAGACACAAGGATAGGTGCCCACACTTGCTGAACACAGAAAAGAAGGCCCAAATCCTCAGGACTTCAAGACCTCCAGCAGGACATGAAACCCGAGAATGACATGGAGTTTCATGATGTTTCTACATAAAATGGCTCACTTCGTCTCCCCCAGGATACCAGACGATAAGACGGCTGAGACGCAGAGGGTTAGCCTGAAACTCCTGGATCCACACTGTAGCCCACTGTGAACAAACGGCCCTGGCTGCAGGGAGGCCATCCATGGTTCCACCAGGCTAGTGCGACCTGGGGCGAGCTGGCACCCAAAGCATTCCGTCAAAATAACATCTTCGCCATGGAGCACGCCCCCCCATCCCCTCTGCTCATTCAGTAAACTGCCAGGGATGTTATATGCCCCCAACACATTTGCTGAGGCCTGGCCCATCAATTTATTGCTACCTGTGCCTCTCATTTTGGTGCCATGCCATTTCCATATGCACAACTTCTACTCTCTTTGCAAATATTTTTCATCCTAAGGGCTCTCAACCAAGAGCAAGCTGTCTCTACTCCCATGAAGAAGGAAAAGGTTGAAGGAATGTCTTCCATGTATATGGCTTTGCAACTGGTCATGTGCCTCCTCCTCTATCATCACACTTACTTTTCATCCCAACCCTGCATGGTCAGAGTCGTCATCCCCATTTTTGAGAGAGAAAGCTGAGGCTCAGAGAGACTCAGGGACTTACCTGCTGCCTTGAATGGGAACAGCCAAGTCAGGATCCAAGGACTCCTAACCCAGTGCTCCCAGCCATTTCTCAAACTGAAGAACAGCAGGACGGCAGACTGCAGACAGCAGTCAGGCCTGGGAGCAAATCTCAGTTTATCTGCTGTGTGGCCTTAGGCAGGTGCCCACCTCTCTGGGCCTCTGTCCTCTCAATTGTGAAATGGGATTAACCTGCAGGATTGTTCTGAAGATCAGACTCCCGGCAAACAGCACTCACTAGACAAATGTAGGCCACGCCCCTGTCCTGTAATTCTCCAGTCAGCCTTTTGATTCGAACTGAGACAACAGACTATTGAAAATGACTTTTAGGAAAAGTGCAATTTACCTGTTAGCCACCAGAGTGCAGTCAATTTCTGGGCGCTTCGTTTTGGGAATGACATACAGTGGGTACCTGTCCCCGTGTCGAATGAACACGTGCACGGAGACCAGCTTAAAATGATGCGGAGCGTGACCTGCAAGAGAGAAGCACACGGTCTGGTTACCACCCAGGAACTGCCCAGCACTTTCAGTTTGCCGAGGCGGGGAGGGGTGACCACGTGGAAGGGTGCCATGCTGGGTGCGAGGGGCCTCTGACTAGCCTCACAAGGCAGGGCAGAGGAACATGAGAGGGCTGGTTCTGTCCCAGACCCCCAGAAGCCATGGGGAGGCTCTGGGGGTGTGGCTGGGGACTAGGGGCCAGTGAACTGTAGGCAAGACTGTTCATGGAGCCCCACGCACATCTGCAGACTAGAGGGAGGCCTGCAGAAACACTGGAAACAACGACTTCTGCTTTACATCTCTCGTGAAACAAGGCAGGGCACAAACAGACAAATTCAACATCATTCTCTAATACACTTTCAAAAAGGAAAACTCAACAAGGAAATTGTATTTTTCCACATCTTTACTGCCAGACACCACTGGAGCAGCCTGGGGAGGTCCTAAGCCTGAAGAGAGCCTGCCTGGGAAAGGCGTGAGCGGAGGGCGACACCCTAGAGTCTGCAGAGGCCACCTTTCTATTCCGCTGGTGTCTCACTGAAAAGCATGATGATGGTAAACCTTTGTGGAGGGAGTATCATGAGCCTCGTGCTGCTCAAAATGGCTACTTACTCCTCCCAGCAGCCCGGTGAGCGGGTGCTGCTCATCACTCCCATTTTATAGATGAGGAAACCAAGACCTGAGAGCTTATCCAAGGGCCCAGCCTAGTGGCAACTGCAGGACTTGGACCCTGGCCATCTAGGTCCTTAGATGCTGCTTGGAGATGGTACCAAGTTGGGTGGCACAGCCAGGCCTACCTTCCATGCTGCGCTCAGCCACGCTGGGAATGTTGCAGTACAACAGGGCTTCGTAAACAGGGTCTGCCCCTGGGGGCTCCGTCACTGGCTCAGGCATGATTCTCTTTCGACTCTTGCTGCTCACTTCATTTTTAGCTGTCGACACCGGGATCAGGTGGACTGCAGGGAAAAGCAAAGCAGGTCACGACACATGTAGTCACTGGGATGAGTGGGGGTGGGCTGTGGACAGACCAGCTGGAAGGGCCCAGAGTGCAGCTGAATTTTCATCGTAACTGCTGTCTCCCTCAGAATTAGGCTGGACTTCAACGTAGCAAAAAGTCAGCTTCTCATTCAATAACTGTTTCTTGAGCCCCGCTCCAGGCCCTGCCCCTTTCTCAATGCCACTACCCTCTCATCACCAATAATTATCTATGCAACGCTGAGGGGCCACCCTGACAAAGGGGGCCATACCTACAATGGTAAAGGAAGAGCTTACACACTAACTTTGTGCAACCTGACTACTTTGTTCTGAACACCCTTTGAATTCTGGTAAATACTAAGTAGGAAGACCATCGCTTATGGAGCGCCTACAAAGTGCTGGACAGGTGTCTATCATATCTCATTTAATACCACCTGCTTTGCATCTTGTGGCCCCCAGAGCCCAATCACAGGCATCTGCTCATTCATCCTCAAGAGACCATTTTACAGAGAAGAGAGCCAGGGACCCAAGGGGAGGGGGAGGTGGCTGCCCAAGGCATACGTGGTGGATGGAAAGCCGTCTCAAGCTCACTGCTCTGCCTCCAGCCCAGGTTCTCCCCCACTGTCTGCTACATGTCATGTGTGGGCCCTGCCATCTGAGTGCGACATTTGTCCACTTAGCACCCCTCTGTCAGCGAACCACTCCTGCCCCTGCCCAGGTGAAGCCGTTGAACTGTCAATCACAACGCCCCGCCTCCTTCAGAGAGGTAGGGCGCAGACACGGAAGTCTCCTTTTCTCCTGGACGCTGATCTCTAGGAACAGAAACCTGGGGCTGCCCCAGCCATCTGTCCCTCTACAGATGAAAATGAGGCTAAGTAGAGACAAGCCAGATGGACAAATGAAGAGCATTAGAGAGAGAAAGGAAGACCTGAGGACATCCATCCTCTGAGCCCCTGGGTCCAGATGTGGTCGAGGCCAGAACTTCCCTTAGATGCCCCAGATCTGTGAGTCGAGATAGTCCTCTTCTTACTTAAGCTAGTTTGAGCTGGGTTTCAGTTACTTCCAACCAAATGAGTCCTGATTCATGCACTTTATCAATTATGTATAAGTAGATGTAAGCCCAGGTTCTGGGTCAGTGGTCCCCAATCTTTCCAAGAGTTCCAGTCTGAAACTCCCTACATAAAATAATAGTTGTATTTCTAGCATCTGACAACTGAGGAAATACCCAGAAATAGGAGTGTCCATGAATCATTTAACATCTAAAAGGCTTATTAATCATCATGTAATACATATGCATACATTTGAACAACAGCATAAACAGGGCCCAATCACCAGTCTAAATCCATTTAAACTCCCCACCTTCTTCTACAAATCCTTCTAAGTAAATATTTAAAACTTGCCTTTGGCAAACAGACATTATAAACAGAGGTAAAAGACAAGTTAGCCACTGAAAGGAAAATGTTTGCAACACATAACAAATCATTAATATTCAAAGAGCATAGATCTCCTATAGCTGATAAATCAATAAAGGACATAAACAGGCTCATTATAGAAAAATAAATACCAGTGGCAACAAACATGAAAAATATTCAACATTTATACATATTTAAAGAAATACAGAAACAGGATATGATTCTCTCCCACCCCTGTCAGACTAGAAATTCACGTTTTAATAATATCATCAGTCCTAGCCACCACATGAAACCCACACTTCCAGACACTGCAGGTGAGAGTGGAAATTGGAAGGACTTTTCAGGAGTATCTGGCAGTCACCACCAAAACGTGACATGTGCTTTTTTCCCTGATCTCATTATTATACCTCTTGGAATCTATTTGGAAAAGACATCAGTTCTCATCACAGAGACAAATGGCTGAAGAGATTCACTGCGATGCTGTTTATAATGACAAAAAAAAGGGAAATGACCTAAATCTCTCTCATTAGCAGAACAGAATGTTACATCCACAGTGTGGAATATTTTGCTACAGTTACAAGAATGGAAAAGCATCAAAGATGAATAAAGCAAATGAACCAAGTCACTGGATAGCTATATATTTCTCTTTGTGGAAAGAAAAGAAAACCTACACATGTATTTGAAGGCATTTTTTATTATGTAAATGAGCAGAAAAATGTCTCCAAGGACATCCTTCACGACGCAGCAGTGGCTTCCTCTGGGGAATGGGTGGAATGGGGTGTGAAGAAGTATTTTCACTTGTTTTTCTGTAACTGTCTATATTGTTTTATAAATCCACATAGATACATATGTATATATAGTTACAGTAAGCACATGTTACATATATTCTATGTATGTAACATAGAATATAAATATAAATATATACATTTATTTCTATAATGCCTAGATACACTTCTTTTTTCCCAATAAGCATATTTCATTCATTACTTGTGATAAAACAACCATCACAGAGCTACAGAGTTGGCCCTTCACCAACTCAGATTAGCCCTTTGGTTAGTCCTAGAGCCATCTCCTTCCTGGAAGGGTCCAGAACTGCTAACACACAACTCAGGTGTCCAGAGGTCATTTCTGGTGGGTTGGCGGGCAGATTTGTGCCGCAGCAAGGGAATGATGTCCTCAGTCAGTATGTTAATGACCCAGCACTCCCGGAGGCTGTGTGGCACTCCTCAGTGCTTGACTCTGCTCCTTTGAGAAGTGGTACCAGGTTCTGGCCCCTTGGCCTTGCCTGTGGGCACACTCCCTTTGAGTCTGGGCCAGGGAGAGGTGACATGATAATAGGGTGACACAGGGGCAGAGGGGCATGAGTCCCTGGACATCCCAGAGTCCCTACAGTTTGCTGATTTATCTGAGAGCACACAGGGGAAGGCTTGTGGGGGCTGCCACCTGGGAACTGCTATACACTGAATATTTACGTTTCCCCCAAATTCACATGTTGAAATCCTAACTTCCAGTGTGATGGTATTTGGAGGTGGGAACTTTGGGAGTGAGTTGGTCAAGAGGGTGGGGCCTTTGAGAATGGGATTAGTGCCCTTATAAAAGAGACCCCAAAGAGCTCCCCTGCCTCCACTTCTCTGCCATGTGATGTTACAGCAAAAAGATGCCCTCTAGGAAGTGAGCACCCTCTAGACACCAAATCTGCTGGTGCTTCAGCCTTGGATTTCCCAGCCTCAGGAACTGTGAGAAATAAATTTCTGTTGTTTATGAGCTGCCAGTTTACGGTATGTTTATTAAGCAGCCCAGTGGACTAAGACAGGAACCACCTACAACTCAAGGAAGCAGTGGTTGAAAGCTACATGTAAAGAGATCTTCCATCCAAACAGATTTTATCTGCTGTTTCCTCTGGCATCTGGGCCTGTCTGTCAGCTTCGCCCACTGGCTGTTGAGATGACCTTGCATTGTTTCAAACCCTCCTAAGTCACCAAGACACAGCATCAGTCCATGTGGGGCCCTTCAAAGGGTCCTCCAGATACTAGGCAATCGGGGGCAAGTTCTGATGCACAGAAACAATGGAGTGAGACATCTCACCAGCATCCCCTCCCCTAACCTGGTTCTCATTGTCCTGAACTGTTCAGAGCTGTCCCTGCTCCCATAGGATGTTTCTCAGGATGTCTCCTTCCCCTTGCTTATGACTCTACCCACATCCCAACCTCCATACCCCAGATCAGGTCAACTCCATAACTGACCCCAGGGGTCACCTCCTCCAGGAAGCCCACCCTGAATCCTCAAGTAGTCTGGACATCCCTCTTCTATGAGCCCACCTGGTTCTTGCTGCCCTCCTGGCTCACACTACAGTACATGTAAGCAAGGGTGTCCACAGTTTGTCAACCCACCACCCCAAACATCCAGAGGGCCAGAACTATGTCTCTTTCATGTTTATTCTCCCTCACCAACCGGCACAGGGCAGGCCCTCCACAAATGCTTGTTGAACTGAAGGCCTGCTCTGAGCAGGCCCTGTGCTCCATGCTTTTGGTGGAACACCTGCTCGAACCCTCAGGGAGAGCAGTTACCTGACCAGCCAGTGGTGGGGATCATCCAAGCAGGCTTCCTCGAGAAGACGCCCAAGCTGGGACTGAAAGGCTGAAATGAAGCTGGCTACACGGGGAAAAGGACAGGACGAGGGAGGGCTGGGCGGTGCGGCAAACACAGCAGACAAGAGGTGGCAGGCTGGCTCTAGATACCTTTGAGGCCTTGGCCCCACCATGGCTGATGCTCCGGGAGAGGCTGGCTGCAAAGGAGCCTGAAGGAGCAGACCCCGGGCTGGAGGCTGCCTCTCCCCTGGCTGCTGCCTGACCTGCCACATCAGCAGTCCTGGGCTTGCCTTGTTCATCTCAAGGGCGCTGAGGGGCAGACTCAGGGGCTGGTGAGCAGATGTGACATCTGGGGTCTGGGGCTGCAGGAAGCTACTTCTCCTGGCAGGCCTCCCCAGCTCCTCCAGTGCCCTGTGGGACAATTAGGAACTCTGCTGATTACAAGCAGAAGACAGGCCAGTGCCCTTCCTCTGGGGGACCAAACCCACGCTCATAGTCTCCAGCTTATCTCCCCATACAGGGGCTCTGTCCTGGGGCAGAGGACAAGAATCCGCCTGCTTCCTGGCCTTCCCCCACCAGATCTGGCCTTAAGAACCCCATGTATGCAGCCTATTACAGGTGATCCTGATGGAATTCTGGGAACCCCATCCGTAGGTCAGAGCACCACCCCTCCTTTCCTTCTGCGGGGTGGCTCCTCCAGGACGCTGTCCTTACCACGCTGATGGCCCCAGGGATGGATCTGGCACTAGCCAACCGTGCCAATAAAGACCCTTTCCAGGAAAGAGAGCTTCCCCACGTGGAAGAGTCCATTTTGCAGAGAGTCAGGTGACCTCTGAACCCCTGTCTCCTGCCATCCCCGCCCTAGTTTTTAGTTATCCTACTGTTGTTTAGTTGTCGGCTCTTTCTCTGATTGCACAGACACCCTGGCTGACCGAAGCCAGGTGTCAGGGATCTGCAGGTGTCCAAGCACAGGTAAGAATG